AGGAGGACGAGTTCATCTACGAGGAGGCAGCAGAAGAGGCAGACTTGGATTCTTTCTCCCAGCAGCGACTGAAGAGCTCAGGGTTTGGGGTGAGGATTTGCGTAGGCTTTAGGCTGCAGATGTTGAGTTTCAGGGGTTAGCTAATTAAGATAAACCTCATATCTTAACCAAAGGCCTGGAAACCATTAACAGGAACGATTGGTAATGGGATCCCTGTGTAGTCCCTTATATCATAGGCTTTACTTTTCATCGAACCCGTAGTGTAATAATGACCGATGCACCTAAATTCAGCGGAGTTGAACATCCGAGAATGAAATTACAAAGACACAGAAAGCATCGACGACTCTAACGGAAACGCGGGCCAACGGCCCGTCTTGCGAAAAGTTTCCTAAGTTTCAGAGTTTCAGGGTTCATGGAGTTTAAGTCTACATGTAGTCTCCATTCTAGTTCCCTGTTGTTGGCTAACCGATTTACCACGAAAGGAACTACAATGGAGACTGATAGGCCATAGTGGAACCTGCAACTTAAACTTTTCTGCGGACCCCCGGGCACCCAGCCATGCTCAAGCCCGTAATGCTGTCGAGGAGCCGCCGGACGACGACGAAGTCGTGACGGAGGTCCTGGGCGTTGAAGCGGCGTTGAACTCACGTCAGTAGGGTGCCAATTGGGGTCAAGGTTTAGACATACCCACGCTAGCAGGTTGCTGGAAGTAGAGTCTAGTGAGTGCTGGGGCCCACATGAGATCATTAGATGTTTAAGGTTATTCGTGGATGTGGTTTCCTCTGTCAGTTCTAGGTTGTTATGTGATATCTCTAACATTGAGGATGGACTCGTTGCTACATCACTCTTCCGGTATGAGTACCTGAGTGTAGCTTGTGCCTCTGGACTGTCCGAAAACATCGACCCCAGTCATCATAGTCATTGTTAGCATCGCCGTCGCCATCATGATCTCAATCAACAGCTGCACCTGCGACGCAAGCATTCATCTTTCTCACCACCTTGACTGGCCTCCTCATCTTTCTACAAGCCCCACAAAACCCTGGACCCCTGAACGTTTAACCCCAATCAAGGCAAGCCAAAGCCGACTTAGATGTAGAGAGTAACCCTTAATCCTCTAAACCCTAAACCATGAACCTTATAGGGTAAGAAAATATAGGACCCTAAGAGATGCCCGTCCAACAAGCTTCCCTCCTTGAAAGGATCCTTCCAAAGGCTGAGCGTTGCTGGATCTCCGGTAGAGTTCGCGCGACATCAAGATGACCAGTGTAAGGATCAGTCGTAGGCTTCAGTAGAGCTGGAGGGGTACACTGGTACACTCACACAAACGCCAAAGTCATGGCCCAAAATATGCAAGAGGAAATGTGACGGACACAAGGAGCACGGGATGACTCGGTTCAGGGCTTTAGCTTCAATTCGGGCCAGAGGTGACTTTGAAGTGTCCAGGGTTACGGATATGTTAGGAGTCAATATACTGCCCCCGGGTCATACCCCGGCAAACCCCAAGACCTGAGCCCGCCCTCCCTCATTTCGCAGAACTGTATAGGGGTTACACTGTTTTGGTACCCAAACCCTTCAAGAACACACAGAAACCGGACATTGATCATGCTGTGGCACATCAAGTGCCCTGAATTGGCGAAAGCGCCGGCGCAGCTTCGTGCAGCGAGATGTAGAAAACAGCGTGTTTAAAAGTTATAGAGGACATTTCAGAACCACGGAACCTGTTGTGCCTTTGGTGAATGTGGGTTGCATGCTTGGGGTTTAAGCTGCGGCATTGTGGGATATACCATTTTCGACCGGAAAGGGTGCTTATAGGGCCGTTTAGGGTCTCTCTATGGGTTCCTGAAATGAAATGTGACTTTAAAGATCTGCAAAAATGTCTTCAGACAATATAGGGCTTTGTAGCGTTTAGGATTGTTAATGGCGCAAGTTATTTTGGGGAATGGGTTTTGGTTGTTGGGTTAAGGGTTCAGAACTTTGAGGGCCTAGGATTGCAATAGGGGTTTAGTGCCCTCCATGAGGCGGGCAAGAGAAAAGTTAGAAGAGAGAGAGAGAGAGAGAGAGAGAGAGAGAGAGAGAGAGAGAGAAAAGAGAGAGAGAGAGAGAGAGACAGGATTGGAGAGCAAGTGCTGCCGGACATGGCTGCTTAGACGTCGCGCCGGCCAAAAGTGCCTTCCCGAGCTATATACGTCTCCCGCCCTTCCCCCCCCCGCTTCAGTTTTAAAGTTCTCAACCAGTGAGTGGTGCTCACAAGCAGTGGATCTCAAGGACTAGTGAATGGGAGGGGATGAATGCGAAGAGTCTTAGCTGCTTGGATAACAGCCAATGCGGGAAGCCACGATTGCGATGGAGACGGGCAGGCCAGGCACTATGGACTGCGTGTCGAAAGTACGACTTTGGCGTTGAGTTCGGCGTTAGTCCGCAGTGCATTTCTGAACCCTGACGTGTCTGGAAAGCTTCCCTTTTGACTATACATTCGAGATCCCGCGCCGGTCGGAAGAAATAGAATCTTCGAGCATGTTGCTGCCAAGGCGTCGGACTGAGGTCTGCGACATGCATGCCTGGAATGTCGTGGCCTTGGGTGCGTGGTGCCCAGCATGGCCACCACTGCGACGTGTAGGCACCCGACGATGCAGAAATATGCAGAGCCTTTTCTGCATCGTCGGGAGTCTCTTGACCAGAGTGTGTGGCTTGCATCACCGCGATTCGCGATGTCTCCGGTGCTCATTTGCCGCCTGGTTTTGGGTTTTGCTGCACCATTTTTCAATACGCAAGAGCATCCCAACAAGACTACACACACACCCAATGTCCATGCGACAGAATCGTAAGGTTCATAGTGGGGTAGGCAGTATATAAACCACTGTGTGTAACATCCATGAGGATGTGGAGCCGACGCCCCTGGCGTTGCTGTGTCAGCAGCGCGTGGAGGCGGCATGCTCCGTCCTGCTTCTATTTGCTCGCTTGCCTGGACGGGTGGCTGCGCAGGAAAATCCGGAGTGCATCCTGCGGGGCACAAAAGCAGCTACCGCCTTGGGGCTGACTTACCTCTGCTCATCCTCCGAGAAATGCCTCCGGAAGTCCAAGTTGCACATGCCGCTCGCCGGAAGTTCTGCTTGTGATGGTCGTCTGCTGACGGCCCTTCTCGAGTCAAGCAGGACCGGGTGCTTCTGTCCCTTCGCCGATCGACTTAGGCCCGCAAGCAGCGGCGGGATATGGCGGGATCAAGGCCATCAGCGACCCCTACCACGACGACCCTAACCGGCGTCTGGGGCGGGATGAGTGCCATGTCGTGTGCAACAGAAAGATCTTGGTCGGGAAAGTGGCAGCGCCTCGGGTGCACTCTTCTCTATGCTTTTGTGAGCGATGTGGCCTTGCATGCCGCATGTTGCCTGCTAGGTCTGGAGGTATCCTGCACACACGACACCGACGCCAAGATTCTGACGGCGGTGATGCCTCCCGAAGGCTCGTTCCGACTGCATGGAAGTCGGCACAGTCGTAACTTAAGTGAGCAGCTGCGGCGGGAAACTAGCAAAAAGGATGCTCTAACGTGTGATGTACTCGCCTGGAAGCCAGCGTGGCTGCCTTTTTTGTGCCCAGGCAACCCGTTGTGCACGACAGCTGCATCGTGCTCTTATGCGTCGGGGGAGAGAACTCCGATGCTTGGCTCATAAGTTGCCCGGCTGGCTTACGGCGGCCACTTGGCGGGGCGCGGTGCTGCCATCTCTCTCCCCCCCGCCCGTCTCCCCCGTGACACTGACCGGTGGCGCCGGTTGCGGATGCACTCGTTTTCGTGTGGCCTCTTCTGCTATCACTGTGCGCGTATTTCGTGGGTCTGTGGGCGGTGTCACATGTGGTGGGAGATGTGTGATGGCGATTTCGATGGCGATGATGACTTCTTCTGCTTCTGGGAGCCGCTCATCCGACTCTTGCAGGCGACGCAGGCACCGCAGTAGGGACGGACTGTACCTATCACGTTGAGCGATCCTGCACCGATGCTGCTCCCCGTTCTTGGGTTCTGTGGGCAGTGGGGCTGCTGGGGTAAGTAAATTGCCGTGCTAAACCATGCCGTCGTCATATTTCTCGCTCTCGGTGCGGCACACTGTGTGCTCTATCCTATAAGCCTAGACCTGAGCCCTGTCCTTGAACCCTATATAGAACAGCAGCATAAATCAGGAGCGCCATCGTAGGCTCGTCCTAGCAGGGTGGGAGGCAAAATTAATCAATGAGGACCCACTATATGGCAGGACGTTATGCAGTGACATGGGCCCAGTTCGGGTTTTAACGCCCAGGTGCGGGCCGCAAGGTGGGGCTTGTTTTTCGGGCTTGTGGTTACGGATTTACGGAGCAGGACGGCCGGGGAAGTTACTACGACTTGGCGGGAGAGTTTGCGCAGCTTGTAATTAGGTTTATGCAGGGGACACAACGGACTACGCCCAACGGCTGCCATATACTTACATAATCTTACATACATATACTTTAAATGCTTGCCCTCTTCTATAATATCTCCATACGCAGGGATGACATTATCCGTGAAATTTACAATGGGATCACTTCGGTCTTCTAGGTTTGTCTAGGTAAGGCTTTTCTGCGTGTCCCATGAAAGTCCAAAGTTTCAACAACTGTAGATTAGCACAGACGAAACATGGCCTTATAGGCGACAGTGTCTCAACGTGTTTATCTGGTCAGCACCCAAAAATACGCTTCTGCACATCTTCCTATGCTGAACTCCGATCGATGCTAACGTTGTTCGATGCACAAGAAAGTGTTCATCCAAATATATTGCCTCTCCGCAGCATCCTGTTTGTTTCTAGCAATTGTGTTTCTTTTCTCTAGATTAGACTCGAGATATCGACTGGGTTCTTTCATGGCAACCCCACAAACTCAAAAATTTCAAGCCTGAGTCCCCAACTAGATCTTCATGACCACGGCTTCTCCGTTGAGACTGCGGCTCCATGTAGTATTCCGTGTGCGCCCCCCCGCGCCCCCCCGCAACGCCACGTCCCATGGATCCCAAGGCTCAGGATTTGTCGGGCTGACGGTTTTGTTAGGAAGAAGGTCTTAGTCAGGAGTGTCGAGTTTTGCGGGGTCCCTGGGTTTCGCAGCTACAAACCGCTGTTTCGCGATTGACAGTAAGGCATATCCCTCCTGAAGTTGCCGCCTGAGTTCCAAAATAAATGTCATGCTGCAGTTTGCGGCTTATGGTTTGTGTATCCACTGTGTGGCCGTGTGTTGACTTTCCTGTTTTGTTTGTCGCTGCGGAAATAACAAAAGCAACGTAGACTTGCGACAGGCCAAGGCATCACGGGAAACTCAAGAAGTTAACATTGAACCACTGAAACTTGCCGAGAAAAGGGAACTGGACGGACGGACCATGGACTGTTCAAACCCTGAACCCCCAAGCCTTCACTCCCAATGTTTAGTTTGGCACATAAAGGAGTTGCGGAGCCGTGCCTACCTCAAATATTGATTCGGCAGGTGGGTGGGAAGTCTAAACTAACAGTTGCTTCGGAATTATTCACAAACTTTTTTGAAGGAGTGTAAACAACAAGCAAAAGCATTCTGTCCTGTTTTCGCTTCTTGAGACCTCTACAGTACCAAGCATTGTCGAGTCGAAAGAACCCGAAACCGCTGTGCTGGTTCGTCCTCGCCAGGCTGCTTGGGATTCTGTCCTGGTCTCTGCGTCGAGTATCCACAAAAGCCTATGGAGCCTTCAACGGCCAAGGAAGTACGACCTTACATCGTAGACTTTATGTTTGTAACCTGCAAAGCCTTCGAATCTGAAGGGCATGCATGGTCAACCTGGGCAGTGAACCCGTGAACCTCGCTCAAACTTCCACCTTTGTCAACTCCAAGACCCCACCTACACAGAAGGAGGTAAGATGATGGCCCAACACCAACAAGCGGTTGTTAATTAAACAACTGTTTTACATACCTTTGGTTTCCAGGTCGGTGTTACACCGGAAACTCTACGATGCTCCCCAAAGAAGTGCAAAACCTTTCCGCTGCTCAGATAATACTCGGCACCCTCAAATCTCTCGACGACAACATCCTGGCCACTGTCATCGGGCAGGTATCGGGACCACTTGGACCACAAAAGTATGCCGAATAAAAGCCTTGTGTATATACGCATTGGGAAATTATGTTACTTATCTCTGTAGGTTTGGAGCAGGGGTTCGGGGAGTTTAGGGCCAAAGGTTTGTGTTCACTTTGAGTTCAGGCTCCACCTGGACCCCAAAAGTATTGGGACATTAGTTTACCTACTTTTGGGGGGGTATAGGCAGGGCTTTAGGGTCTAGCCTTGTCGGTTGCTGGCTTTTTCGCCCTCTGGCTTTGTTTAGGTGGCAGGGTTCCACAGGTGGGTTTGTTGTCACAGCTGTACTGTACGCCCAGATGATTCGGCGACTAGCGCTGTTTGTTTGCTTTTGTGCTTCCGATTCGAGGGGTGTCTTTCTTGCATGAGGTTTGTCTTGAGACGTTTCGATCGCCGAAAGTCAAGCCCCTTGGCAACCGTAGTAGCCTCGGCGTGGACATACTTAGTCTTGCGCCATTGTCTGGAATGCACACGCTCAAGGCCTCCTGTCTAGCTATTAAGGTCTCCGACTTATAAAGTGCGGCAACCTCACGAAGGGACCCTAAAAGGGATCCTAATTTAGAGAACCACCCATATGCCTTCAAGCCCCGACACACCGCCAGTTGCTTCAACAAAAACCTGAACTTGCCCCTGGCTTGGTCGGTCTGGCTCTCATCAATGCTGCTGTCCATGTGCGGTTGGAGGCTGCGCTTTGGGGTTTAGAGCTTGACGGCGGGTTTGACATTTATCGTGTGTGTATCGGAGCTATTCCGGTTGTTGGAGTCAGTTTTGTTTGTTGATTTGGAGCTGTTTGCTATCGATGCTGAGAGTAATTGGGAAGTTGCAGAGGTGCACCAGGCCAATAAGGGCCGTGTCTTGATAATGCATGATTGGAATACGAACCATGTGAGGTTTCACCAAGCCCGAAATCCGAAACCCCACGCCCTAAAGACCCTCTGCCCAAACCCTTCAAGCCTACACCACCACACACCCAGAGAACTTGAGGTTTGGCAGTGCCAGACCTGACCTATGCGCCAACGAAGGCGAAGAACGAGTGGATTCCGGAACTTGCACTAGGATTTTAGGATTTAAGTTCTTATCTCAAACCCTGACCTAAACTTTCAAACAAAAACGCCTGTTTGGAAACTGCCGCCGCAGAACGCGGTGTGAATGCAGGAGTATTCTGGATCTGTGTCGCGTGTTTTTGTAGGGAGGGGTCGTTGGCATATGGAATGTTGTGAGATGCCCGAAGGAACCACGATCACAACGACATGGGCGGTTCATGTGGACTACAAGTTGCGAAACAAGAGTTCCCCTGCCAAACTCTGGCAGTGTTTTGACCACGTTTGGGTGTAGATTTAGGGCTGAGGCTTTAAGGCTGTCGTGTTTCTCATAGGGCTTCGGGTTCACGGTGAAGCTGAAACCCTTGTACCATCAAGGAAACATTGCACTGCACCGTCAAGCTATATCGTCATTACTTAAGCCAGTCATCGTTACACTCCTAGTTTCCCTTTAACCATTGAGTTGAGATGGTGAAGGCCCATCTTTAATCGCAGCGAGCTACAAAAGCTTAACCTCAAGCCCCCCCCAGAAATCCTGGTGCCCTTTAAGCCGTAGTATCCTGACGGCTAAACCCTGGCCTCGCCTGCCCTGTCCGAGTGTGAGCGCCGAAACCCAGGGTTGTTTCGGAGTGGGGGTAGTCTTGAATTCTGATCGAAGGAGGCCTGCGCCGCCTGGCTCTCCCTACCTCGTCGTATAAGTTGCGTGGAAAAGCGCCAACCAACAGAACAAACAGCAGAAAATTTTATACCGATTTACACCTCAAAAGGCCCGCCGCCCTAAGCCCGAAACCTTCGAATTCACTCCGTCCAAATCCGCCAGGCCTTCACGGAGAGAAGGTGTAGCGGGACGATCAAGAAGCTCTCGCCGCAGCCCGGGTCTCGATGGGGCTTTCTGGCTTCTGTTGGGCAGTTTTGGGTGCGATACATGTAGAAAGGCCGCAAGAACAATAGCTATACAGGAAGTTGAGACTGACGAGTATAGAATGACAAGTATAGAAAATCTAGCGGGAGAACGGAAATGGTAGGCATAAGGGCACATAAATTTCTGTGGCAAGACGGAAATGGCCAGTGAAGGTGGCCTTAGTTACTTACAACCAAGGTTCATTTAGCTGCAAAAGGGACGCTGTGTTCGAACATCTGCAAACAAACGAGACGTTCTTCAGTGTTCTGATGACCACCATCATGACCCGAAACACCAGCAGTTCTTGTAGCTCCTTTGACGTTACATCCCAGCTTTATCGGGGACCCATGAAGAGTTGGCAGTACTATACGTGGGTGTGCGCAAATGCCGAAATGGCATTGTTTGCTTGCACAGTCCTGCATTTACGCAATTTTCTGCTATAAGACACCGAACAAACTGTTTTCGTTCGTTGCCACGACGACTGCGGCAAGCACAATCTTTGGGTGACCGTTTAATGTATGTAGATACCTAACACCTATGTTAAAGCTTGAGGGAAGTACTCACTCACTCCACCCAGGGAGCTCAATACCCCTTTGTCATGCCCCTCCAAGCGGAGCCATAGTGCATAGTGCGAAGCCCTGGGCAGAATAAGGTTGAAAAGATGGCCTGAGAGAACCTTGCAGATTGTCACATGTCCACCTCGAACCGAAGACCGTAAAGTCTGAAAACCAGGGCCGGTGTGCGTGTCATTGGGGTCTATCGAGCTGCGCAAGGCCTGTATCGCGCTTCATCGGTGAAAGTTGTCGGTTGCATGAAAGCCTAAACCCTATCTTCCCATCCCCAAAACCTTAGCGTGAAGTTCAGCTCTATACAGACCAAAACCCGGCGTCAACCTGCTGTGGCCTATGTTTGGGGTGCTGTCCCTTTAACTTGTAGGCTGGAATCTATACCGTGAATCCTGTGCAGGAGTCAGCAGGATATGGCAGTGAACCTTACATCCTGAATCTTCACATTGAAAGCAAGCTGTAGAGACGAGGATGGGAACGGGCTTCATCGAGTGCCCCGAGATTAGCACAGTCTTCGGCTGCGACGTCTATGTCAGTGGGGAGCAGGTGTGCAGGGTTGCCCGAAGCCAACATAGTCTAAGCCTTGTTTTGCCCAGGGGATACTAAGGACCTGCATTCTACAAAGTATCAGAACTCCGTTAGCAGCGGACAGTGTCTCTGTGTGCGTGTGCAAGCATCCCCAATCTTGATGCTGAGGATCCTTTGGGGAAGAGTAGAGCCAGTACTCTTCAATTCATTCGAGCATCATTAGCTGTGTTCTCGGTCCAAGACGATTCGCAACATCCGGCATGGTTGTGCAACTGTACATACATGTTCACCACAATGTCTAAACCCGCTGCTGTAACTCTGAGCAGTGAGAGTGTCCCCTGTATGATCTTAGGTTCTACAACGCCAGACATCCTGCCTTTTGCAGGTTGCTATTGCTTTGAACTCTGGACTGATCTAAAGTCAAGACATTTCGAGACAAGACATTTCGAGACAAGACGTAGATACAGTATCATGAACAACCATGCTGAATGCTGGTTTCGTGGAATTGAAAAGGATACGAATGAACGAATGAAGAGCACGCCACACATACTGCAGGTCCCGAAACTGTAAGCCCCGAAGCGCCAGAAAAGCAGCAACCAGTATGACGTCTCGGGAATGGAAGAATTTAAGTTGCATCTCGGTGGGGTTTGTGCAGTCGTCCGATGCCCGGGGCTGGGGATGCTACATATTGAGCTTTAAAGGATCAGGAGTCACCATAAGCCTCTAATTTCAAGCTCGGAAAGCCCTAAACCCTCAACCCTGAAAACGTAAAAGCCGTAAACCTTAAACCCTATGCAGTCGTGACTCCTCCCGATGTTGTGTTTCACTCAACAGACCTCCGAACCATATGCCTCGCCTGGATTGTCCGAGTGTGAGCGCCGAAACCCTATGCAGCCTTCTCTTGAACCATCAGACCTCTCTGAGCTCTGTTAAGTTCGAAATCCGGATGCACCGGCCTCATGCTCTGAAAGCCCCGAAGGATTGAATCTCTTAAGGAGGATCCTTCTTCCTTCATACCCTAGGGATCTAAGGACTCATATATGAAGGCTTTTGGGCCCAAAGACTATCCTATATAAGGCTTTGGGGTTATTTCGATCCCTAGGGATACACAGACTCGAAGCCCCAAGCCTCGTAAGAGCCTTGTCCTAAAGCTTAAGATCCCAAACTCCTGACCCCAGAACTCCCAACTCGCTTCACACCCTAAGCAGCAGAATCACCCACAGCCCAAAAGACCCTAAACCCCTGAAGCCCCACACCTCCGAACCTGAAAGCCCTCCTCCGAAATTGCCTCTGGAAGAGGTCGGTTCCTTCTTAGAAGGCACCGAGGCCTACAGCAGTGGTGCTGGAACTGGATCGAAGTGTGTGCTTTTAGCGGTCTGTCGAGGGTTCCTGTACGGTTGCATAATCGAGGTTTTCAGTTGTCAGGTTATGGGTTTAGGGTTTAGGCTTCGGGTCTCCGGTGGGATCTAGGGCTTCGTAGCCTTTTCCGGATTAGGGGCTGCAAGCCGTGTGTTGAGGCCTTTGGGGTGCGGCAACGGCTTTTGGGATGTGCTTGGAGGGGTGGCCCAGGGCAACGTAGCAGCCACCAACCCCCGAAAATTGGCGAAGAGCCCTTCGAAAATGGGGATCCAGGTTCGTATAGCTCATCTGGCAGTTTAAAGCGGAACGCGACGCCTCATCGTCTCCATATCCCTGAATGGATTTTCCGAACATTCGGGGTACCTTGCTTTTGGGGTCCTTATGATAGGGATCCTACTATTCAGGGGGTACCAAACAGGGTCTCCTACTGGAGGTTCAAGGAATCCGCAGTCCTAAGCCACAGGAAGGACCCGTTTAAGACTCGGATCGAGGACCTTAGCCGGGAGGGTCCAGGCCTGAATCCCTTTTTGTTTTGATTTGTTTGTTTTTTGTTTCTCTATAAATAGATAAATACATAGTATTTGTTTATTTAGTATTTTGGTTTACTTATGTTTTTTGATAATATAGAAGTATATCGCTTTATATAATTATAGCATATTGTAGCTACATACTTACGTATACATATGCATCTACATATACATATACATATATATATATATATATATATATATATATATATTCATTCACATACCAACATGCACTGCCAGGGCCAACTACGATGTTGCTACGTATGCTCTGAGGAAACTGAAGCCCCAAGCGCAGTTCTGGGAGAGGTCAACTTCGCGGTGACGTTGACTGATGACGACAAGCCGCAAGCGTCCGATGCCTTCGATTTGCCGGCCTTTGAGGGAGTGTTTTTAGGGCTCGGATCTACATATATATATATATATATATATATATACATACATACATACATACATATAAATATATATATATATGTATGTATATCGGTCTTTTAAGGCTTATACTATAAACTTCAGGGCAGCTTCCGAGCAAGCGGGGATAAGGGCTTAAGGTGTCGAGAATTAACACTGGAAGTCGTCTTGTGTATGTGCGACGTCGCCTGTAAATCGTAATACCAGCAAGAGTCGCAGGATGCCCCAATTAGCTTCACGTTGTTTGCATGGGCTCCATCAGATTCTCGCGTGTCCGGTTCGTTTTAGCAACTTTAAATTGTCATCTTTGGAGTTTCCAGTGTTGGGCGAATTACCACAAACGTGGGCTAGTTTTATAGATCGGTGGTGACAAGCGGATGCGACATGCAGGTTCTCGTGTTTATAGCGCCGAGGTCGAGGATTTCGATGGGTCATGTTGCCCATCATCACATCAATTAGGTGGGTGACTCCCTACTTTCAGTTTGTCAGGTCTTGCATGCAGTTAGCCCTACCCCTCAAGATCGAACACCGAACCCCCTAGCTCCAGCACACTGCTATGCCAGTATGCATATCATTCTCAAAGCAACACGGGCTTGAAGGAATCCTAAATCCTGTACACTCAACGCAAGAACCGTGCCCTGAACCCTAGAACAAGGGACCCAAAGATCCTCACAGGGAGCTGGAGCCGAATCATTTTCGATATGCTCTTCCTCTTTCTGGTTTTGTTTGTTTAGTTGGGCTCCTGATTATGTTTCTTGTAAGAATAGATCCGAACAATATACCCCTCAAACCCGATCCTAAATATCATTGAAACTTCGGAGCTGCCCTGCGATGTGCGGGGGGAAGTGTGTGGGCGGCTGCGGCTACTGCTGCTAGCCACATCCAAATCCAAATCATGAAAACTGCATTAATACAGGGGCCTCAATGAAGACCTTTTAATTAAAGTCTAATGGACCCCAAAACCCTATTCTAATTATTCAGACCCCTACATTGCAGACATCGAGGTTCGACCTCCAGGAGAACAGTACGCCGAGCCAGGGCCGGAGAGGGGCAATATAGGGGCCTTGATAACTACCAATACTATTTGCGGGGGGTCCTGATTATAGTTATAGTATAGTTCTAATATTTAAGGTTCCTATAGTATGTCGTTTCGGGTTTGGAGTTTGGCTTTTGGAATAGCATCATTGCTATCGTTACTACTAGATTACAAGAACGCTATTATTGCGACTAGTAGTCCTACTGTCCTACTAGTAGTATTCTTAGTATGGTTGCTTTCTAAGTGGGGTTCAAGGATTTGTTCGCTGCATGTGTGCCTTTAGGAAAATTCTGCGTCCGGGTTGAAAGGCTTGGGCTGGAGGTTTCACTGTTCCTCACTGGCATGAGCACTTGAAGCGACTGGCATGAGTTGGCATGAGTTTTATTGTTATCGAGGGTTCGTCCAAACCCGAACTCCCAGATGCACTAAACCCTTATGACCCTAACCCTAACTTCTAACAGGGCTCCCAAACCCGATCCTCACTTGGGAACATTAGCCAGCCCGTCACCCTAGCCTGGTGTAGGGTTCAGGTTCAAAAAGGAAGATTTATGGTTTAGGGTTTAAAGCACGGGTTTAGGTAGGGTCTTTACCATTGTAGAGTTTAGGGTTCAAGTAGGGTCTGGGAACCTGCCCGGGGCGACTCGGAACACAACATCAAGCCATCCCACGGCTCATGCTGGCCGAAGAGAGGGGCGTAAATAAGTGGTAATACTATTAATTAGTTGGGGGGCTCTTTATTACACCTATAATTATAATGGGCCCCAACACCCTCTTAACATTATTTAGGCCCCTAAATTACCCGAACAAGCAGTCCTTACATCCTGTGTCGTCACGTCTCGGGTGTTGTGCATCCTCAAAGGCAGATCTGCGTAGGTAGCACATGTTTGGGATTTAGGGTCGTTTGGTGTACCCTTAGAGTTTAGCATGGAAATTGCGGAGGAACGGAATACGGCTTTGGAGAAACAGGTGCCTGTGGTATGTTGTTCCGGTTTTCGCAAGTAGGATATAAGGTCGATCACGCGTTTCGGGCTTGATGGCTCTTCGTTCAACTTCAGAGGTCAGAGATTAAGGCACTTCCGGTAGTCTTGTAGCATAATAAGCCGTAAGCCCTAAACCTTTTGCTTGCCGTCATCCTAGAGAGTTTGATACTGTTGATGGACAAAATCCTGCCTGACCCTTAGGACTCTAAACTATGGGAATTATGGCATACTCCTGATAATGGGTAATGCAGGATTTTGTCCATCAGCAGTAGCTGTAGGGCTGGCTCCGTTTCATGCAGTACACGGCAGTCGGTTTAGGTTAGGTTTTGGTTTTTTTCCCGGAAGCCGCCCTAAAGTCATGTAGGGTTTCAAGATAGATCCCTAACAGAATTGCGAGTTTGCAGGCACCCGCCGATTGAGTGTCATGAGGGTCAGAAATCCGGGAATCGAGAGACGGATCGACCAAAGGCATGCCAAGCATGGGCGGAATGGGCATGGGAATGAGCCTCGCTTGCATTTCGGCGTGTTTTTCCGTATCGGGTTCAAGGCCTATACAGGCAAATGCGCGTATTCAAAAAGTAATGTGCTTGAAAGCAGCTAGGATCCTTTAGTAGGCCTTTACTAAGGGGCGGGTTGTTCGGAAGTACCGACCCAAGAGTAGCCCGTGCGAAATGGGGCTTTCCAGTTTCCAGCCGAAGTGCAGGTATTGCGGACATGTGCTGTGTAGACGCTTTGGGGTCGTTATCGACAGGGTTGGGAATCGGAAGGGCGGCTTGGGTGTATGGTGAGCGGCTCTTGGTAGACCCAGTTTCCAAGTGATGGTTTGACCGCTGACTGCCGTGCCGAACTGAAAAGACATTAGTGGGGAAGTGTTTGGGCTTTAGGGGTTTACCGTTTAGGGTGCGGCATCTTCAGAACACCTGCCACTAGATAGTGAGTGCACTCTTGTGGACACCAGGAGCACGCTAACTATAAGGTCGGGGGTGTCCTTACAACTTCTGACCCTAGTCAAAATCTAAGGCCCACAAGCACCAAAGCCAAAAGGCGTCCTAATCCGGTAAGTCATTAAACTCCAGTTAAGCAGTTAAACCTAAACCCTACGCTCAGAGGCCCCATGGCCTTCAAAGATTCAGGGTCCTGAATGCCTGAACCCTAAACTTTTGCAAAAAAACGCGACCAACCACCAAGCAAAAGCACAAAGCATCGACATAGCACATCATAACACTGTCAATCTTACTACCTGGTAGCTGTAATGGAGAGAAATTTTCGAGTTACGACGCACAGCAACAGCTTCACAAAGGTTCGACCCTAGTTAAACCCTTAATATCAGCAGAGCTATTGCCTGAAGCCATGCCAGCCTTGAGCGAGTGTGAGTGTGTGAGTCGAAACCCTAAACCCTCGAATAGCTCGACATGCAGGCCCGGCATGGAAAACATGGGACTTGGCGTCCCTGGCATGGTCGGGGCCCCAAAAGCCACTTTGGAGCTAGGGTTTAGGGCCCCGGTGCTTTTAGATGTTGTGTCTTGGTTTCAGGGTTCTGGGTCTTGCTTTACGGGTTCCCTGGTTCCCTTGAGGGTTCCTATAAGACTATGCGAATCCGTGAAATGACAGGGGTTCAAGACAAATCCTGCGTTGATTGCTTTCAACGAAGCTGCTGCGAGACATCCTCCTTGGTCGTCTCTGTTTATAAGTTGCATGGCAATACAGGGCATCGGATCCCGTGCACACTCAAGCACCGGGACACATTCAAAGTTTTCCCATCCCATGTTTCTCTGAGCACTTGGTATTGCAAGCACCCTGGCCCGAATTCGGTTGACTTCCTCAGCAAACACCTTAGGTAGAAGTCCCATACACAAGGTTCTGCAAGTTCAACAAAGCTTTATGTATATAAGCGGCAGCAAGCCATGGCATCAGCTACATCTTCGCCGACAGCAGCAGGGAACTCCGAAAACCTCAACCCCCCCCTGACAATCCCAAACTCCGAAGAAGTGAACCCTGAAGGCATAATTCTCTACACGAAACCTGAGCTAAAGCCTCTACCCTAAACCTCGACAACGCACACACACGCACGCACAAACGCAAAGCAGACACTGACACAGCCGCAGACACGGCCACAGACATAGACGCACTCTCTTAAACTGCTGAGTGACCCCCAATCCTCAAGACCCGCTGTGTTCCTAACTAAATTCCGCTATATGGCTATGCTTGTCCTGTTGCTTTGTTTCACTGCCTGTGTTTGGTGATTGGTGCTTTGCATAGCCCCTGTCTGGCTAAGACTTTGCCCATATCCACACGGGTGGTTGTCAAAATTATGGTCCCTTTTGGGGGTCCCTAATGGGTCCTTAATCTACTACGACACCTAGTATTTAGTTTTGACAACTACCCACATGCCTCGCCTGGATTGTGCGAGTGTCGGGGCCGAACCACTGAACCCTAGACCTTTGGCACAAGTGAGAATCGACATCATTCAACTTTTCACACCGACTCCGCACCTAAGAACCTCGCCTGGCTGTGTCCGAGTTGTGAGAGCGTAAACCTTTGTCATAGTTGGGTGATTTTTTACAGGTTTTTGGGTACTTGAACCCAATAAGGAATAAAGATGTACATTTTAATCCTATCCCAACAATGAACTAGTAAAACCTAAAGACAGAAACACAACACTGAACCCCTATACCCCCGAACCCTGCACCAAACTTAAGATCCTTAACCCTAAGTGCGGAACCCCTGGCCTTAAGAAGTAATATATGAACAGAAAGCACGTTGAGTACTTCTAGTATCGTGTTACCGTCATAACCGGATTTTCCAACATCAAATAACATTGCCATATTTAAAGATGCTAGAAAACTGAACTTAAAGCCCGTGATTCAACAAGTCTATCATTAAAACAACTGAAACACAATTCTAAACTACCCTAAACCCTGAACCCCAGGCGAAGCAACAACAACCCTAGACCAGACCCTGCACCCTGAGCCCAAAACCGTCATAAACTACAGCCCCTTGAGGACTTAGGGCTTGGCGGAATGGGCGGAATGCCCGGCAAGGGTCCCGGGCTACAGCTGAGCTGTCATGGGTTTTAGGGGTTAAAGGGGTAATAGGGGCTAGGGTTCAGGGAATGGCTCGCGACCTCGGTTCTTTTGAGGTTTGGGGTTTTGGGGTTGTGTGGGGTACAAGGGTTATGGGGGTTTTAGGGGTTACAGGGGTTAGTACAGAGGTTATAGGGTTCGGACCGGTTCGGATTGGGGGCTTAGCGGCCGGCGGTTCGGGTTTGGGGTTTAGGGTTTCAGGTTTGCATTTCGGGCTTAGAGTGTTTGGTGCATGGGCATTTTCGCTTTAAGGTCTTGGGCTTCGATGGTCTGTTTCGAATTTAGGGTCTGGTGTTTGCGGCTGGGGGCATTCAGCTTCAATGTTACGTGTCATACGGCCATTGCACCTGTGCGTCGAACCGAAGTACTTAATCTTCCCGGAGTCCAAATGTGAGAAAAACTCAGAGAAAAAACCGACACCTCAGATCCTGGAGCAGTTGGTGTCGGCTGAATGTATTGAGTCTTCCCGATTCCTATTCCGAATGTCCATGCCTCGCACATGTTGGTCTTGTTGATGTCTCCGTTGGTTCATGCTAGAGAGGTGCAGATAAAGACGTGCGGGTTGAACCCTACATGCTAAATCCACAGCCCTGAAAATTCACGGCTGTAGCCGTCTCTGAAAATCTCCGCAAGGGCAGACAGGGGGGATGGCTGGCCAATGAGGCTTAAGGCTGTACTTCCATGATATCTGTGGCCTCGCAACGGCTGCAGTCTTGCTGGCTGCATCCTCATGCCAAATACTTTGAATGCTACGTTCTACCTTGAAGGATGACTTGCAACCTTCAGCATCTCGCCCTTTCCCCTGAGCTGTGACCCCACTCCCGAGCCACTCCTGCTCAGTATTATACTTACATATATATATATATATAGAGAGAGAGAGAGAGAGTATTATATTTTTATTTATATATATATATATATCATGAAAACAAGCAGTCATGGCAAGAAGGTCAAGATCTCGTAACCGACCTTCATCAGAGCTGACTGCGAGCATGAGATAGGCCATCACGACCCACGGCCATCGGCTCAAAAGGGTGTATGCAGGAACGCCCGCATGCCCAGGCCATATAGGAGGGAACATGTTTTTTTCCTGCATAGGCCCCGGAGAAACAGTGCAGGATACCCCGAGATCGGACATGTCCACGCCCAGCCTAAAGAAATTACTCGCCGGGATTTCGGCGTGTCAGTGAATATTCTCTCGCCTCAGCACCTCTTTGCATCAGGCCTTCTCCAAACAGCCGGGAGAAAGTAGCTAAGGCATCCACACTAACTTGCCGGGGTTTGCTCAGCCTGCTGCGAAGGCCCCAGAATGCAACAAGAACTGTAGAGTTTTTGCTTCTGTTGCTGCTGTCTTCGGCAGCATCGATCGGCCACAAGAACTGTAGAGTTTTTGCTTCTGTTGCTGCTGTCTTCGGCAGCATCGATCGGCCGCAACGGCTACAATGGTCCCAATGACAGAGATTTTTGTTGCATTCTCCTCCTGCGACGTAGCTCGGCTTCCTTCGAGGGCATGCCCCAAATCCCATACAATCCAAAACCCCGCAAACTCCACAACCCCATGCCATGTAGACCCGGTAAATCCCTACAAGATCCCAAACGCTGTAAGCCCAGGACTTGCAGTCTGGAAGTCAAAACCCCAAAACCCGAAGCCTCAACCCATACTGCACTAGACTCTGTTCTAATTAGATCATAACCTGGATAATCTGATATAATCGAATGTACCTATCTTGTTCTAACCCTATACGACAGCATCTACTGTTTCAAGCTTTCAATGTCCCGGACCTCTACTCCCTACGAGCCTCTTAGGGGGCCTACGAATCAGGGATTGCTTGCGAGCCGACTCTGAGAGTAGGAGCGTGCTTCATGACCATACTTGTACCTTGCAGACCGAAGGACCCGTTAAACTGGGGGGGGCCCTTGACCTTCATACGGTGTTTCTTGAAGCTTAAACCCATTTAGGGTACATTTTTCGTGTCAGCATACACTTCGATCCAATGCAAAACTCATAGCACTTGTCATCCAGTTTTCAAGGGTACTAATTGGAAGCTTAGCAGATTAGCCCTTGGAATCGAATTTCTTCCACGTCTCCGGATGCTGAGTAAGTATACCCTAAACCACCGGAGCTACGCCAAAGCCTGGAGGCTACACCCGACAGCCGTAATCCTGCACAGCATCAATCCCTGCCCCAAACCCTGAGCCTTAAGTTCTTGTTCCAGCTCCCCTGCTCAAGTAATACTTATTAACATGTGTCGGGGTGTTCGACTACCGGGTGATCTTGCTCCGAATTCTCCGACAGTGAATGCTTTCGAAGATCAATGAGTCTGAGCTCCATAAACCGTATGGGAAACAAAGGCATGGCTCGTGATTTTTTCCGTTGCGCTGTGCTTCCTCGGGCTCGCGCTGCCACTCGGCGGTTCATGGTTTATGGTTAATATAGGGGCCGTAATTCGTAGTTGGAGTAGGGTTTTGGGGCCCATTATGAAGAATCATAATACGGAGCCCCCACAATAGTATTGGTAATTATTTAGAGCCCTATATTAGGACGTCCGGCCAGCCTAGTATTGCGGCCTTCCAAAAAGATCTTTTACCTGAATATTTACCTTTTGGTTTTCCTCTGCACCATCCTTCCTGATTCTGATCTCCTGCGAATCGTCGTTTCTGTTTTTACCTCCTGGTCAACCATCCTTCCTGGTTGTGTTTTCCTACGAATCCTCCTTTTTGTCGGCTTTGGGTTCCGAGTTTTAGGGTTCTATGTCCCAGAAAAGAGATCGGAGTTCCGGAAACAGAAACCGACTTCGGGATTATGGGTTGGGTACTGCCCCCACCCAGTAACAGTTGAATAAGATTCATAATCTATTGATAACATAGATATGTTAGGACCTTAATAATACAGGATGGTACGCCCTATTATAGACGGTTGATGTATGGGGGCAGTACCCAAGTTATGGGTCTCAAAGCCGATCAAGCAACACAACATGAGTGCGCAGGTCGGGGCATGAAGCTGTCTAGGAGTCTAGGGAAGGGAGGGTGCAGATTCAGATGTGAAAACTACTGGTAGACATACAACATGAATGTGCAAATGCACGATGGCACACATACACTCATTCATATATTCATTGATTCGTTCGGCACTTCAATCTAATCACCTGATGAATCACACACACGTATGCACATACATAGTTACTGTAGGCATGCACGTACACATGACGACGAGGTTGAGACTGTGAAGTGTTTGATGTTTTTGGGATGACTGCAAGCCATGCTGCTCATTTGGGTCGTGGTAGATGTTTGAGGTTTGAAGTCTTTTGTTTGAAAGGGGTCTGAGGGTTCGGGGAATGCAGGATGCGGCTTTTGGTCAGATAATAGAACTTTGGATTCAGCGTTTAGTCTGTTTGATTTGGAGTTTTATTGTTTAGCGCTGAGCATTGATAGGGTTTTGGCCTTTGGCGCTCAGCCCTTTTGGTTGTTATGATTATAACATTTAGGATGTTGGGGTTATGGGCTTCAGGGTTGGCGGAACAGGGCCCGCCTTCGCGAAGTAAGGACCTTCTGCGGCCACCTTTTGTACCGGCGAGCCTTTCGCGTCTTCGTGGGTGTCCTGGCATTCGCTGCTCAGGCAGCCATCGGCGCCTTGGCGACGTTATGGGGTCTGGAGTCTAGAAGTTTTGATAATCAAAGGGCCCCACCAACTGGCCCACGTGCCAAGAAAGAAAGGTTGATAGTAGACAGGTTTCTTGGGCTCCTGGGCTACAGAAAGGCTAACCTAGAGGTTGTTGTCCCTGACTAGTAAGACTCCTGTTGTAAAGACTCAGAAACTTTGGAAATTTGGATGAGCTCACTGTGTCTACTCGGGATTCCGATAGTACATGATCCATCTCAGGGATCCCTTGCACTTCATGTCTCCTGGGTCGGACATATAGGGTTACGCGTTACCGGGATCTTTCGGTCAATGTCATGGCCATGGCCAGTGGTGACACCCTAGTTACGAAGATGTTTCTCTTGAGCAATGAACGGCAACGAAACGTGTTCAGAGTTTTCGGGCTACAGTTGCTACCCTATAAGGCCTGAACTTTCTTGTACTGTCTCTGATGGGTTGCGCAAACACTTTTCTTTTCCTGGTGCTGCTGCTGCGGATGCTGCTGCGACTGCACTACCACCACCACGAGCACTAGCACTAGCACCGGCACACCACTACCACTACGAACCACTACCACTACAACTACCACTACCACTACCACTACGACGACGACGCCCACGACGACGACTACTGCTACTAGTACGACCATTACTATGCTACTACTTCGCGTTTTCTTCTTCTGGAAAATAACTAACACCACCGCCAACGACGGAAGCCTCCCGCCCTGTTAAGCGGGCTGTGAGAATCGAAGCCTTCACCACCCGAGCCAGGCAGCAGTTGGTTGCGCGCGTCTTCGGGAGCTCAAGTTGGAAAGAAGATCGTGATCTCCTGTTGCCCCTTGCCCTCGTCTCTGATGGCTTCAGCAAAAACGGGTACTCTATATGCACCTCCAACACCGAGGGACCCCCAAAAGGGGCATTTCTCTTTGGTGAATCCCTGAACCCCTAAACCCCTAAGCCCCTCCTTCAAGTCCCTGTTGCACTGCCACAAAAGGGCCCCAAGCCCCTAAACTTAAGGTCTTCGCTGGCTTCACAGGGCTGTTTAAATTCAAGGCTTTACGGGCTTAATTATGCGCGCCGCAAAGAAGCGAAGCCAGCCCTTGTGGGAATCTTGGACGGATTAGGCGGCAAAGGCCTCAAATGCTGGTACTGGTATGAGAACCTCCAGCGGGAGCGCTTGGTTGAAGAATCCTCCTCGGCCTGTCACGGCAAGGCCACAACAACAGAACGGCTGAAGCGGTGGAGTTTGGCTGCAAAGTGCAGTCACGGTCTCCTCGAATCAATCCATGACGGCGCTCTGAGGACGCACCGACATGTCCA